ATCTAGGGGATGAATGTCATGTGACAGTACATCTTGGGGATGAATGTCATGTGACAGTACATCTAGGGGATGAATGTCATGTGACAGTACATACAGGGGATGAATGAACCAGCTTTAACGGTATAAACTGATCAGGCTGACGGAAACACAATACATCAAGGCTCACCTGAGAAATAAAACAACTTCTATCAGGTGGTATAATAGGGATTTGACCAGCAATAAAGGTGAGAGAAAACAGCGTCTGTCAGAGGTAACAGGACATGAATGACCCCGGCCCATTAACATGTGATACGGGGTCTGTATCCCTGTACTACCATCACACAATCGTTATAGACAAGCCCAATAGAAATCATTGAAGTTGATAACTCTGAGAATGTGAGAAACTGTCAGTTGGGTTTGTTGAGGACAATAGTGGGCTGATTTTCTGATCCATGTCAATATGGCCGTTTGTCATTGCGGATTGATGGGAGGGGAAGTATGCACTCGTCCTCCACACGGTCCTTCAGACAATCGGCCCATATTTATAGAGCACAGAGGCCGGGTATAGGTGGCATCCCAGCCCAACAGGTACAATACACTTCACTCGCCCCACCACAGCTCGACAATGGCCGACTCCCTCTAAATAGAGAGTTCCTCCTCATTAAGTGGGGGAACTTTACATAACATTAGAGGTAGCAAAACATCTATAATGCCTCAAGAGTAATGTACCTATTTCTATAGTTGCTCGGATAATACCACTTGATTGACAAATCAATGCTCACAATACTGGCCAATTACAGGCCGAATCAACGCAATAATAGAAAATGGAAGAAAACACATCAATACCCTACAATACCAACCCATTCAGGTAAAGGTGTTTTCTTGGGGAACTCCATTTGAACCAGATCCAGGCAAGCTTCCATGTAAAGGCTCCATATCTTATCTGTAATGAAACATAATCTATTAATTTAATTTGATAAAACATAATCTAAAATTCAACAAGAGGCCCAGAGGGCCTGTATCGCTCACCTGAATATGTTTAAAATAATTAGTATGAAGTAAAGATATAGCACTCCATGGTAGGTGCTGTAAGTACATATGAAATTTCAGAAAGATCCATCCAGTACTTGAGATATAGCGAGAACCAACTTAAAACAGAGCCCCACCCCTATGCCCCTAGGGGGGTCATACCAACAGTTTATACAAAATTGAGACCCCTTGGCTCAAGGATGCTCCAGACGAAATTAGGATAAAATCCCTTAATCCCTACGGTAGAAGAAGAATTTTAAAGGTTTTACTTCTATTTCCCCTATTGGGCTCTGCCCCTCAGGTCCCAGGGGGCCACATCCACCGTTTATACAAAATTGGTTCCCCTTTACCCAAGGATGCTCCACACCAAATATGGACCAAAACCTTTCATTCCTACAGAAGAAGAAGGATTATGAAGAATAATTTGCTATGTTTCCTCTATTGGGCCCCGCTCCTCAGGCCCCTTGCGGGCCAGACCCACGGTTTATACAAAATTGATTCCCCTTTACCCAAGGATGGATCAAACCAAATATGGAACAAATCCTTTGAATCCTACAGAAAAAAAAGGATTTTAAAGAATTTGGTACATTTTCCCTATTTGGCACCGCCCCTCAACCACCAGGGGGCCAGATCCATAGTTTATACAAAATTGGTTCCCCTTCACGCAAGAATGCTTCAGGCTCAATATGGACCAAATCCTTTCATTCCTTCAGAAGAAGGATTTTAAAGAATTTGCTATATTTTCCCTATTTGGCACCGCCCCTCAGGCCCCAGGGGGGCCAGACCCACGGTTTATATAAAAATGGTTTCCCTTAACCCAAAGATGCTTCAGACCAAATATGGAACAAATCCTTTCATTCCTACAGAAGAAGAAGTATTTTAAAGAATTTGCTATATTTCCCCTATCCGGCCCCGCCCCTCAGCCCCAAGGGGGGCCAGACCCACCATTTATACAAAATTTGTTCCCCTTCCCCCAAGGATGCTTCTAACCAAATATGGAACAAATTCTTTCATTCCTACAGAAGAAGAAGGATTTTAAAGAATTTGCTATATTTCCCCTATTGGGCTCCGCCTCTCAGCCCCCAGGGGGCCAGACCCACCATTTATACAAAATTGAGTTCCCTTGGCCCAAGGATGCTCCCGACTAAATTGGGATAAAATCCCTTAATCCCTATGGTAGAAGAAGGATTTTAAAGGTTTTACCTCTATTTCCACTATTCGGTTGGGTCCCGCCCCTCTGCCCCCAGGGAGCCACAACCACCGTTTATACAAAATGGAGCCCCTTTGGCCTAAAGATGATCCAGACCAAATTTAGTCAAAATCTTACAATGTACCACACAAAATGGCTTCAAAGAGACACAGTGTACCACACAATATGGCTTTACAGGAGGAATTGTCAATGTTAAATGTGTTCTGTTTGGGATTTATGTCTCCACAAGAGTAGAGGTCATATATCACTATACCCCATATATACCCATCATTCCTACTGTACCGTTGGTCGGGAAAAACATTCTTTATTATGTTACATGGTATTTGTATCTGACAACAACAAGAAACTCAGCAATCTTCCAAAATATGTAACACATTTAGATTTGTAACTTATGTGTTATCTGGAGGAGTGAATGTCGACCTGGAGCATGAAGACAGGCCAGTGATCACTGGTGCTGATTACTCCACAGACAAGGGGAGATAATTACAGGTTTCTGTTTCACCTGCTGTCCCAGTAATTACCAGTGATGACTATCGCTTTAACCTCTTATTACTGACCACTGAAACACACAAATTCTGACGACAATTGGTTGTGACAAGGGTCAAACACACCGCATGACCACTTATATTGATTCCACACTATCTATTGTCCTCATGGTCAGCTCTGACTTTTGATTGTGGCGATGGCCAGCTCCTATTTGGAAATGCTAATTGCTTGGAAATGATTTCTAAGAAATGGAAGAGTACATGACTATAAACCATTATAATGTAGAACAATGTGACGGGCTGGCCGACTGGAAGTAATGTTTCTGTAGCATGACAATGTTTGTACACGTTAAGGTCCAGTAGATGTCCAGGGTCTTTGCTACAGGACTATAAATCATCTACTGCTACATGCTATACTACATATATCCCTACCCAGTCATTGGCTGCCCTCACATGGTCTTGCGTTACTAAGGGAACAGTTTCTGCATATTCATATTGTATATCCAGTTTCGGACAGTAATCAAAAGGTACGGGTTTGAATTATAGTGGTGAGGCTACCAAGATGATGGTATATATACACTGAGAGGAAACCTGTAGCGTATTCAGTATTTTTTATCAGTATATAATTTTTGCTTCATTCGTGAGATGATGAAATCACTATGTCACTCAACTAAACCCAGTATTTTACTGAAACCTTTACGGGCAAGGAAGATCCAATTTCGATCAAGAATTATATAAACTCAAAATTCAAATAGGCCAATCAATCCAGATTAGAGACTAGGGGAAACCTTTATTAATATTCCAGTAAAGATAATGGAACCGGGTCAGGGTCTGTTATGAGAGCAATATTATGTCAGGTTTTGCCAAAACCTGTATTACTCTTGCAAGAAGAGTTAAGACAATTTCCAGCCATTCTTAATTTCAGACCAACCCTAAAATACATGTATACTAATCAGGATAGTTTGCATCAAATTTGATCTTTGAAAAGGTTACAAACAATCATATTATTGATGCTGTGTTGTGGAAATTTGGTTTTCAAAAGAAGATTTGTCGCTGTTTCTCAGGATTTTTGTTGCATGCAATATTTGGGTGTGTGGAGTGTTAGTGAGACTCTGTGGGGCCATATACACTGATGTGCACCCTGCACTTAGCTTATACATTGAACAGCAGCCCTGATTTCTTCTAAAAATTCGAGTTTAAAATAAAACTCTTCATTCCTCTGGCAACACTTCATCAGAACTAGATTCAAATAACATTTACTTTGGTGTAAGCAATCTGTAATTAGTAAAACCCTGTAAATCTGCACACAGCTGCCAGAGCAACCTAGTAACTGTCTGCCAGCACGGAGGAGGGGGTGCTGTAAGCACCTTACAGGACCACTGCAGGGACAAACACATGGAAATGAGTGCAATTTAAATGAAAATTGAGTATAAGGATTGAAGTCTGATGAGCAATTATGTAAACTTTCACGGAAATCAATAAGAGTTTGAAGAAGACATGGCAGTGTATTCCAGTGACTAGATCTCTGGTCTGTGAGACCAGACAATACAATTCCCCCACAACACCACATATAGTATCATTACACAAACTTGCCTCTTGGCCAATATGCCAAAAAAATGTAATTTGCATGATGGAAGAAGACTTGTTATATTTCCATCTAAATGCTTTTTTATTGAAGTAACTGTATCAGAAAGAGGTTGGCTGACGTAAACATGCTGTATATGGCAGCAAAATTAGCCTACATCTCAAACTTAAATATGAGTGATACAAACCCGAAATACTTGTCTATATCTCAAACTTAAATATGAGCGAACCAAAACCAAAATATCAGTCTACATCTAAAACTTAAACCTGAGTGAACCAAACCTAAAATACTAGTCTACATCTCAAACTTAAACCTGAGTGAACCAAACCCAAAATATCAGTCTACATCACAAACTTAAACCTGAGTGAACCAAACCAAAAATACCTGTCTACATCTCAAACTTAAACCAGAGTGAACCAAAAACAAAATACTAGTCTACATCTCAAACTTAAACTTGAGTGAACCAAACCTAAAATACTTGTCTACATATCAAAACTTAAACCTGAGTGAACCAAAACCCAAAATACTAGTCTACATCTCAAACTTAAACCTGAGTGAACCAAAACCAAAATACTAGTCTACATCTCAAACTTAAACCTGAGTGAACCAAACCTAAAATACTAGTCTACATCTCAAACTTTCTACATCGAAGATCTCTGCCTACTAGGACTAGTATTGTAGTCTGATACTGAAGATCAGTGACAAATTTAGCAAGTCAAAGCATTATGGATCACTTATTGCTAAAAGAATGAAGAGTACAATAAAAAGCATAACCAAATTATTTATGGATGCTTAGAAATTTCATTCAGAAAGACAATTGGTTTAACTGCAGATTGATGAAGAGTTGTGTAGTTTGGATTACAATATATACATATCCAATGTTGGAGTATGAAATGGTAAAGTACAACAATCTAGGAGAACATGATACAATATCACTGGAATCATAAAACATCATTCCATACTTGGAAATTCAATAAAACTATGGAAGCATGCAAGAAGATCCCCCGACCAGCCTCTGCAGATGTAGTAAAACAAACTGAACCAAGGCAAGCTGGTAACTGGTGCCGGACATATGGTCCCCCTGAGGACACCCTATCCTGCACACTTACTGAGTAGGGAGACCGGGGAGCTAGTCTGTCCTGTCATGGTGCAGAGATACCATCAACAATGGGAGGCTAAGCCTTGAGTCCCAGGGCTCAGAACATCATAAAACCACTTGGTTACTACCAACCTACTACATGTATCCTGCCATCAAACACTAGCCATAAGAAACTTAAGTTTGGCTTTTAAAATGGAGGCAAGCTTGATTTCCATTGGGACAATTACAAGCTGGTGTAATTCAGTTTGCCAAAGTGATAGGGTTGGCCCTCAGTAGGGTATTCAAACCACCACACATAAACTAGGCCCTTCTGAGACCTCTATCCATAAGGATCTGCAGAAACTTCCAATTTCTACAAGACATTTTTATGCTGAAAATCTGTCGATGATCAGATTGTCACAAAAAATTAAACATCATCTTGTTGTGTGCATGTTAGGAAATAGCCCTACCGTTAAATTGAAAAGAGAAATTGAATTCTGTCATACAAAGGAAGGAAGAGGTGGTCTATTTCACAGGGCATTGTTGTCTGTACACC